TGAGAATCATCTTTTTTCTACCCCCTCTTTGGGTAGAAAGCCCCGGTACATTACGGGTGCCCGCCATGGTTGACGAGTCGAGGCTGATGCCCACGGAGAACGGTGAGGAGGCCGGCGAAACCGGGGCAAAGCGAGGACATCTGCCCATGAAAGCCCCTTACACCACTGAACATGGAGCTCAAGTTGCTGGGTGAAAAAAAACGACCTCACACGACCGAATTCGCCCCAAATGGTGGTTTATGTGGGGAATAGCCCCGTTTCAGGCTGGTGAAATATGATAATTCAGCCAGAAGTTTGTGCGGTTGCCCTTGCATTGGTTGCCAATGCAGCGCACCAGAAGTCTGCGCTGATAATTTGCGTGCGAAGGGAGCAGGTGACAACAAGACTTGCTTTCTTGGGGTGTTGGATGTGCCACGACCTCTGGAGGAAACTCCCAAAATGAGGGAATGGCTTAGGTCCCCATTGTGGAGCTCCATGTTCATTTGCATGAGTTTTGCAGAGAGCAGCAGGCGAGTGAAAAGAAAAAGCGCAGGCATTTCTAGTTCCAGTATCGTTTCCCCACTCGACCGAGCTCCAAGTAGCACGTGGCTTTTCCTCCGGGGACCCCCCTTGGCCAGTGCCAACTTGACAGGTTGACCCTGGCGAGTTGGGGCGTTTCCCTCTTGCCTTTTTCGGGCGTGTGCTGAGCATGGGTATTCCTTCTAGGTTTGTTTCGTTAGAAATAGATGGCGCTGGTTTAGATTGGCTTTGTTCCGTGTATCAGGGCCATGTGTCCAAAAGGTCGCCCATGGGCTTGCACCTTTCTTTGCAACAGGTTATGCCCGGCGTCTCAGATGAGCAGCCTCAAATGCTATCAGCCTCCCAAAGTGCCGTGAAGATGTCTCAGCACGTGAGCAGCGCCCAACACCCCCTCCCCCCTCCCCACAAAAGGGCCACTTCAAAAACTTGGTGGCTCCCAGCCATCCATGAGCGTTTTAGCCTTTTAGTGCTTAGTGGTAGTTTCCATGAAACCCACTAAAAGTTAGCCGCTTTTAGCTGGGGATCAGAAAACGGGCAGCCCGACTTTAGTAGATGCCATCTACTTCCTGGCTCCATGGGGGATGAAGCCTCTAGGTGCTAAATAGGTTTTCTAGGTCCCTCGGCAATTGGTGCCCTTTTTGCTTACCCCTTTTTTGGTTGGGAGGGTTCCCCTACCAAACCAGACTGCAGAAGAAAAAAAGCGGGTACCCCTTATTCTAACCTCTCTACTGGAGGACCTAGTTTTGGTCGCTGCTCACATGGCGATCATAGCTTTTGACCCTGGTTTACCCGGTTTGCCTGTCCCATCCACACTTCCATTTGTCTTCGATTGGGGCCGCATCCGCTTCCTCAAGCCTGCATAGCATAAGAAGGGCGTTCATGGTTCATTCCCTTTCTTGTGCATTATCCCCTCCGGTGCACAAGGGTGAGCGTGCAGGCTGAGCCGGGCGAGGTTGCAGAGGCGCCCTGGGAGACAAGAATGTAATGTACACTAGGCAGAGTTCGAACGTCCAGGGGTGAGCTGAGTTGCAGAGTTTCTGAACTTCTTGCTCCTATTAAAAGGGAACTGTTATTTGCACACATTCACCTTCGCAAGTGACTGAAAAAGTAGATTCGGGTTTGCTCCGAAAAGAAGGACCCAACCAGCAGCCAGTGCTCTATCCTTGTGACATCGTCTTTATCGCAGCCCTGTGGCACGGAGCCCCTTGGAAGTAAAGGGGATGAAGCCAACTGCCACTTGTAGTTCTCGCGAATTCATGGGAGAGCCTCGCTCTGGAAAGGAAAGCGCCAGCTTTCATGTCTGGAATTTGCCATCCGGGAAAGGCTCAAAGACATGTACCAAACTGGCACCTTGGCAAATGGAACGGATGACTAAGACCTGCGTAACCCTTAGTTCCTTAATTTTGAGCCACGCCCAAATCCATACTTTGGCCATTCGGGATTCGATTTTCTGGTTGCAAGACCTTGGGGTTCGCAACCCAGAGTGACGGACGGGGAGCTCGCCTCGGGGCTCACCCAGGTCCTTTTCTTGGGGATTTTTTGGTTCAGCTTCTGGAAGTATTGAACAAATTTGCAGAGCCCCAAAATTAATTGAGCCTCTTTTTTTTTGGGGGGGGGATCATTGGAAGTACTCAGTTGTCCAAAGCGAATCGACCGGCTCTGACCTTTTGGTTTTCCCATTTTGGTCCGTTTTTTGGTAGAGGTGCCAAAAGGTTAACCTTTTAGTTCTGGGTCCTTTGGGCAACTGAGATTATTCTAAAGTTTGCAGAGCCCCAAAATTATTTGAGGCTTGTTTTTTGTTGGGGGGGGGGCCTGCTCAGCTGCTCGTCCAGCAACTTGCCATGCGCAGCCTCATCCACGCTCAAGAAACCCAGCCTCATTCCACACTGGCGCCTTTGTTTTCAAATAATGGTAATAACAACGATATGTTTGCAAGTAATAGCAACAAATCATATGACAAACCATGTAATACGAATAATGATTCCAATACCAGTAGTAATAACATAACAAATAATAGTTCAACACATACATGAAACAATCTATTCTTCCGCCAACAAACGACAACCAGACAGAAAATAACAAACACAACGTACAACAAACAAGGGGTGTGTTTTCTTTCCCTCAACAACAACGACGACGACGACGACCACGACCACGACCACCACCACCACCACCACCACCACCACCACCACCACCACCACCACCACAACAACAACAACAACAACAACAACAACAACAACAACAACAACAACAACAACAACAACAACAACAACAACAACAACAACAACAACAACAACCACAACCACAACCACAACCACAATCACAACCACAACCACAACCACAACCACAACAGCAACAGCAACAGCAACAGCAACAGCAACAGCAACAGCAACAGCAACAGCAACAGCAACCACCACCACCACCACCACCACCACCACCACCACCACCACCAGCAGCACCACCAGCACCACCACCACCACCACCACCACCACCACCACCACCACCACCGCCGCAGCAGCAGCAGCAGCAGCAACAACAACAACAACAACAACAAGAACAACAAGACAGCAAGGAGTGTTCATTTTTAGCCGCGTTCCTTTAAAAGTCGTTTGGCTGACCGCCCGGGAGGTGGACCCTGACTCAGTGAAGCTCACCCGCTTCACCCATGGCATGGGCTGCAGCCCAAGCGAGCTTTGCTTCTCAAATGGATCTCGGAACCCCCCCTGCCCGATTCAGATAGCTTCCTGCTGGTTTACTTGGTGGCTCCCAGCCATGCCCTTAGCCTTTTAGAGGCCAAATGAGCCACTTGCTAAAAGGCCAAAACCCGGGTAATTAAGTGAAGATTAGTGCGGGACGATCCCAGCCATAAATAGCTGCGGATATCCGCCTTCTTAGTTCTTTACACTTTCCATGGTTCTGGGTCGACAATTTTTGTACCGGGTTTTGATTGTGACTCAAAAGGATCAAACAGACCACCCCGTTTCAGATGATTTCCATTGCTTCAAGGAACCCATCTAAACCAGTGGAACCCATTTTTTTTTTACCAAGATAACCTGAAAAAAGACACCTATGTTCATATGGCTTTGATTGCTTACGTAATCTAAGAGCATATGTGGCCATTTGCTAAAAAAACATAGGTTTCCCCTGTACATGGGGCATGAAACCATCTAAACAAGTGGAACCCATCTATCAAACCTTAAAAAAAAACACCTATGTTCAGATGGCTTCCATTGCTTAAGGGCATATTTACCTTTCCAAGGCATTTTTTGTTATTGTTGCTTCTTTCGGGGACTTAAGCAATCGAAGGAAGGGTAAAACAAAACAAACAGGACACCAACAACATGTTGGGACTCCTGTTTTGAGAAACACCCGGCTAGTCCCTAGGAGTTTCGAGGAGCACCCCCCCTGCAAATCCCCTTTTTGGTTGGGTTTTTTCAATTGGTGTCCTTGTTGCACAGGATCACTGAGCAGGGGATTTGATTGATTCCAAGGTGACGTTTTTTTGTGAGTCCTTCCACGTTTGAGGGGGGAGCAGGCTTCCCCAAATGCACTGCAAACATTTGGAGAGAGCTTCCGAACGCAGTCTGGAATGGGTTGGGCCCGGGTGGTTCTACTGCCTCTCCTCGCTGGGCTTGGCTTAAACGCAGTACCCATAGGTGTCCTTTTTGGTCATCATCTACCAGGGCCATCTACTTTCCAAAATTACTGGGCTTGGCTTAACTCACTTGCCCAAAGCGAATCGACCTTTTGACCTCTTGGTTTCCCACGTTTGGTCCATTGTTAGTAAAGGTCCCAAAAGGTGATCACCTTTGGGCAACTGAGTTCAACACAGGACCAATTTGTGGCCAGCGAATCTGTCTGCCCAGCTCCGTGGGAGCTTCCTGAGACTCGCCCCAAAGGGATGGAATCCACGCACACCTGGCTCTCGCAAATCACCACGCTCAGAGTCCCCGACTTTTGTGGTTTTTGAAGGGGGATGAAAAGGACGGGGGCGTCCAATCCTCAAAAAAAACCACGCATGTGAGGGAAAGGCCGGAGAGCAACGAATTGGGCCTCTAGAAGGGTTCGAAGAAACTTGTCGTGTGTCTTTTTTGTGGTGGCGGATTTGCAGCAATCATCGCTTTGCCAGCCACGCTTGGCTCGCCATGAGTGGCTTAGCCAGTGCAACATAGCAGCATGCGTTCGGCAACTGATGGCAAGCACCACGTGCTAACTAACGGATGCAGATGACCCGCAGCAGGCTTGAGCAGGTGCAAACATCGCACCTAGTGCTTGAGTGCCTTGCAATCCCTTGCAACACGTGCTGCTTTCACACTTCGTGACCTGACAACGGCTCTCAATGTTTACAAGGCGAGGTGCTGTTTCTTTGTTTGCCGGAAGCCCTGAATCATGTGCTTCTTCCAGCAACTGGCCAGCGCAGCTCGCCGTATTTGATCGGTCTCTTTGAGCTCTAGCCTGCCGATGACGTGCGCCTATGTGCCATGCGCGTGACAGTTGGCACCACAGCCGAGAACTGTGAAACTCGGTTGCGCAGTTGCACATGGTTGCGCCTCAAAGTGATGGTCTAGCATCAGGATGAATTCTTCGAAACGCGGTGATATGGAAGTGCCCATTTTACGGGCAAACTCACCCCCTCAAACAGATTGGGGGTCAGATTTGACTGGCTCAGTAGTCTTTAGAATTGGTTTAGTGCTTGCTTAGTAGTCGCCCATGTATTTCTCTTTTTTTCGATTTCCCCACTCTCCCGGCTTCTTGGGGGGTTCCCTGCACCATCCCCTTGAAACTCTGGCGAGTCTGAGTGGAAGGCGTCATAAGGATTTTTGTCGTCGAGTGGGTCTCAGTTGGTTTGATCGGCTCAGTGTTGGTTTTCTTCGCTGTTCTTGGCATGTTTTTTTTTTTTTTTAAAGCAAACTAGTTTTTTGGTTCTGTTCTCATTTTTACTGGGGGGTCTGCAAAAAAACGGTCAGTTTTTTGCCAGCCCATACCCAGAGCAGAGATGTTGTAGTCGCAAGCCTTGGTCAAGTGATGAGTCGTTCACTGCCAGGGCTTGGGATCAGCTACATTTGTCTAAACACTCCTCGTATTTCCAGTCGCTGGTCCTTTTCAGCTTAGGGTGGAGAATTCTCTGGGTGTAATCCCAGGGTGTATTACAAAAACCCTCAGAGGCTGGGTTTCTGGGGAAGACTTGTTTGATTTGAGTGGCAGTTTTGACTTGGCTTCCCTTGCCCCAGGTTTTTGCAGCGAGTTTTTGCGGACGGACCGCTCGAAACCGTCACTCATGTCTTCCATTTGCTTAAGAATATGTTTTATTTCCCTCTCCTGACTTTCAAAGAATGTATCACCAGTGGAAATATTGTTCATTTTGTTTTAAGCCGGGGACGCCTGTGCACACGGAGGATTTTAGAGCGTGCTGTTCGCCATATGTCGTTTGAAGCTCTGAGTGCTGATGGTGGCGGTGGCACCTTCTGTCCTTTGACCAGGAGAAGTCCCAGCCTCTTGAGAGTTGTTGTAATACACCCTGGGATTACACCATTGGGAAATGACCCAGAATGGTTCAAAACAACACGGTTTTATCCGGAAATGTGCCTAAATGGGGTCAATTCCCAGTGGGTGTATTCCGAGGGTGTAATGCCAAAAAAACAATACTTAGACAGCCACATGCAAACACAGAAGTCTCCGTGCGCATCCCGACAGCCACGCAGAGGCCTTGTATGGGGTCCCTCCATTCCCGCAGTGGGTGCGGTCTCATGTTGCGCTCTTGTGTTTGCGCGCGTGGTTTTTTGGTCCTTAGGCTCCTGGGGCTTTCAATGGAAGACGCGACCCCTCCATTAGACACCCCGGAGGTGGGTGGGGGTCTCAAAGCCAGGTTGTTTGAAGGCCCTAGATCAATCGGGAGCCTCTGGGGTTGCTGTTGTGTTTGGTTTGGTGGTTTTCCTCACAGTTTACCGTTGGGCCACTCCCTTGTTCAAGATGGGAGCAGATATTTAGGTCTGGACGGTTGCTCAAAATCAGGCCCTGAATCTTATTCGATCCACCCACATCCTAGTGGTTTCCCGCGATGAGTTGCGGATGCGGAAGTCGGGGTCTCATTTTCACCGGGTCTGGGGCTTCAACTTTTGACCCCGCGAAGTGTCCACCATATGGAACCCCACACGTTTTAGCGCAGCCCGTCTTCGTCTTGCCACTTGAGTCACAATCAAAACCCGGGTATTTGGAGGTTAGAAAGGTTGTTGTATTACACCCTGGGATGACACCCACTGGGAAATGACCTATTTCCGCCTAACACCGTGTTTTGTTGGATCACCTCCCAACAGTGTAATCCCAGGGTGGAATACAACAACTCTTAGATACATGGTTCTGGGATTACGACCATGTTAGTGCCGGGTTTTCTTCCATTTGCTTAAGAACAGTTTTTCCCCCGTTGGTTTTAAGGCAATCTATCACTACTGGAAGTTTTGTTTTAAACAAATAAAAATAAAAAAATCCAGGGGGCGAAACAGCAAATGGCGGTGTTTGTTCCTTCTTGGGTATTCCTTGGGTGGATGGGGCCTCAGGAGCCAAAAAGAAGCAGCACGAACATACCGCGTTTTGAGTGTGACGCACTTGGGTCAAGGAGGCATGGCTGGTGGAGCTGGAGGTGCCCGAGAAAACCACGGCGCCTAAGCCGAAAATTCCCTTTGGGCGTGGCGATCTTTTCCGGGGCTGTCCCAGGGCAAGTAAGAGGAAACCATCCATGTGGAAGGGTCCCCATTGAGACAAGCCAATTTTACCCCTAAGTTTTACCCCCCCTCTTCGGCAGAACTAGCTCCCCTTGGGGATTTGTTGCTTTGTTGGAACCCCCTTTGTTTTCTCCGCCATCCAGGCAACAGTTTTTTTTGGTTTTTTGGCTGGGGTCCTGGCAAGAGGACACCATCCATGTGGAAGGGCCCCCTTTGAGACGAAGCAATTTTGGCTCTGATTGGCCTGGGGCTTGCCCTTCAAGTTCTTGAATGTGACCTTCTTTTGTCCTATTGGGGGGGAGGCCATGAAGGGATTTTTGCGTCACTCTCTTTGAGGCCCCTGTCCGACACCCAGTTCATACTCACTGGTTTCAGCAAACATGGGCTTTGAGGCATTTGGGAAGGACATGGAAACTCTTGACTCACTACCTGTTCCCCTCGAGAGGGGTGGGGGAGATGCTCCTATACATTATACAGCCATTTGCTTAAGCCCCCTGGAACAAAATATATTTCCAGTAGTGATAGATTCCCTTCAAAACCAACAGGGGAAAGTAAAACAAATTCTTGAGCAAATGGAAGTATAAGGGGACGCTGCACGCGAATTGTCCACCTTCCAAGTGGGGATTGTCCACATAGGCCTGAAGCTTTTGGCCAAGGAAATCAGTCTCGAGTTTCCTCACAATGGTTTTTCCAACAATCATGGACAGGGCTGTGGGAAATGACCACTTCTGTGATACAACAATAAGGGCTTCCCAAACACTAACCCCCCACATAACGGGGGAGATTCCCTTGTATCACAGAAGTGGGGTAAAACCCCTTGATCCCACAACCCTGATCATGGAAGTAGACCGAGGACCTCTGAAGATGCTTCCATGACTCGTGGAAGGTAGAGGCCTTCCCCCCCTTAACCCCTCGCCCCCTGGAAAGCTTGTTGGAGGCAACCAGGAAGTGAGCCACCAGTCTGAGATAAACTGCCGCAAGAAGAATCATTCTTTCTCGGGGCTTTCTAGCTTTTTCACCGCCATCTTTTTGCCAAACCTGAAAAGCCCCTCAGAAGGAATGGTTGAAAGAGAACCTTGAAAGGGGTTTTGAGCATGGGGGTGTGGACCTTTCAGGTGGCTATGGCCCCAATATGTCTTCTGAGAGCCTTCCATTAGAGGGAAGACTTGCTGTTTTCTCTGGCTAGGTCCCCCAGTAGAGCCATTTCTCACCCCTTTTTTCGGGGAGGGTCCCCTATTAAAATAGACTACAGCAAAAAGTTGGTGCCCTTATTCGAACCTCTCAACTGGAGGACCTAGTCTTGTTCTTTCCGGCTTTCTACGTGACGTTTTGCGAAACCTTCAACGCCCTCCAGGGAGAAAGTGGTATGGGTAAGGGTGGGTTTTGGCCCAAGCACCCCCTTGAAACAACAGCTGAACATGGGCCAAAACTGGGGATCCACTTGGGGTGGGGTGGGGTGGGGTGGGGTGGGGTGGGGTGGGGTGGGGTGGGGTGGGGTGGGGTGGGGTGGGGTGGGGTGGGGTGGGGTGGGGTGGGGTGGGGTGGGGTGGGGTGGGGTGGGGTGGGGTGGGGTGGGGGTTGCAGTCTTTTCTTTTTTTATTTTTTCTCTGGCTGGATTGCATTTGTTGAGACTGGGGCCCTTGGTTGAGTTGATCAAGCCAAGGAAGCAGCCCCCAGCTTTCCTAGAAACCATTGAAGCCCCAAAAATGGTGGGGAACCTTGCTGGTTCTCGGCAGGGAATGAGCTGGAATGACTCCGAAACAAGCCATCCCCTATGGCTTCCTTTCAGGGAATCCCTCAAGCCCAGCAAACCGTTTTGGGGTCGGTGTGTTTTGGGGTACCTAAGCGTGGTGAAACAACCCACAAAAGCCAGGATTACAAGTGTCCCACTTACAAAGTACCCTGCCCCTTTGAGCAAGTATCAGGAGACAGTCAACACAAGATTTGGGTATGTCTCTGTGTAGATCTTTTTTTGGGGGCCTACACAATGGCTTCGGTTTTCCCTTGGTTTTTTTTTATGTCTCTAGATCTTTTTAGGGGACCTGCAAACTGGTTTCGGTTTTCCTTTGGTTTTCCTTTTCTTGACGGCCAAGAAAGAGTGAGATGGAGTGACTCAGAAGACTTGGTTCCATCAGAAGCCTTCTTGGAGCTTCCATGTTAGTCTGAGGGAGTGTCGTCCCTTTTTAGAGGCACCGAAAGGTCGGAAAAGGGAAACCAAGGGCCCGGAACACCGAAACCATTTTGTAGGTCCCCTGAAAAGCGACTTTCTGGGCGGGATAGTTTTTTCCATCTCGGGGTCCTGGGAGCTTCCAGCAGCGGTTTGCGCCGGGACCCGTCGAAGAACTCTGAGGTCTCCTCCCTGAAGAAGATCTTGGCATCGCCGCCCCACTCCCTGGCGGTTTCTGCCAGCACCAAGGTGCTGCCACTTGGACGGACCCACCTCAGGGGGGGTCGACGGAGTCCACGCAAAAAGTCCCACTTGGTCCGTGGTGCCTCAGTTTGTCCTTCTTTTTTTTTGGGAAGGGTTCCCTTTAAACTCAACCAAAAGGGTTCCCTTTAAACTTTAGACTCAACCAACAGGGTTCCCTTTAAACTCAACCAACCAACAAAAAAGGAATGCCCCCTTTTTTGCCTCTGGCCACTGGGGCATCTGATAAATAATATAACCCCACTGCCTGCGTTCTGAGTTCCTGGACTTTATTCTAGGGGAAATTCCTCCATTCTTTCCAGGGATCCTTCAAAAGAAACACCTCCAGAACCCCGTGTTGAAAACGGTGGGTGTTCGAAAAGAACCATGGTTGAAAAGAAGGGAAGGGGAAACAACCCCTATAGAAACATGGGTCATGGATGTGTCTGTTTTTGGGGGTACCCTTTGTGGTCGGTTCTTAGATTTATGGACTTTCGGATCTGGTTGCCGGTTGGGTCGCCAAGCAACTCAAGGAATCCACTCACGTGAGTCACCAGCCCTTGTCTCCCTCCCTGAGTTGCTTCCCAGGCCAGCTGTTGTCGTGTGGCAAGCAAGAAGTTTGGCTAGGTCCCCAAGAAATGCCCTTTTACCCTTTTTTAAGAGAGGATTCCCCTACTAAAATAGACTACAGCAAAAAGGGTGCCCTTATTGGACCTAGTTGGCCTTGGTTGGGTCAATTCACGCAGAAAATGGAAGGCGAGGAAGGTTAGTGCGGACCAATCACCCCGAATAGGTGTGGTTATCCGCCCTATTGGTGCTTTAGATGGTTCTGGGTGGACTCTTTGAACAAGGATTTCAGGGGCGCCAACCTCCAAAAGCAGCTTCGTCCAAGGTGCGTGGGCGTTCCGTGTTTGCAAGGCTTCTCTGATGCTCATTCTTGCTCATTCCTACGCATACTCACGTCAGAACCTACAAAGGGTGCCTTTTCAGAGTGGTCCAGGACCCCCAGTGCCTCAAGATGAATGGAAGGACTCAAAGACGTCCTCCGATTCCCAAAGATGTCGCTTCCTCTACAACCGCGCGGGAGTGTGTCACATTGAATGCTGTTCTACTGTGGATGGACAAAATCCTGGACCACTTTGAAACATGGGAAACACTTGGTTTGTTGGTATTTACAGGGGAATCATCATTCCAGGGAGTCTTAGGTGGTGCGAATTGGAGTTCGTCCTCCACAGTATGACTCATGTTTTTTGGGTTTTTTTTGGGCGGAGGCTCGAAAAGGAGGACCCATTTTGGATAGACACTCATGGATTAACCTCATGGCTCCTCAAGGAAGTCGCCCATTGCTTGACTGCTATTGGGCAACGGATCTGTAGACTTTAACTTGTTGGTTGAAATCAAGTTGGGTTTTCCACTAAAGCGTCAACAGCGACTAAGAATCTAGCAATCTAAGTTGGCAAAAGCTGAGGGGGTCCAGTCGAAGTGGGCTTGCTTGCCCTGGAAAAGCAGACGGCACAACTGGATGCCTTTAGTCCTTACCCACAGTACCTGGATTTCGGCTGAGGAGCCCAATCTTCTACTGCCTTCTCACTTGCCCAAAGCGAATCGACCGTTTGACCCTGTGGCTTCCCTTTTTCGGGAACCATCTTGAGTCACCACGTCAGCACGAGCCAGGTTTGCCTCACTTGCCCCAAGACGAATCGACCTCTGCGCCTTTTGGTTGTCCGTAAAATCACCTTGTATTTGTGGGCCCCGACAAAGCAGCCGAGTCACGAGACACCGCCCGTCGCTGAGTCGCTGAGGTTTCGAGACAACGGCGCCTGGCCTGAATCGCTGAAGGGGCGGTTTCGCTCCATGGGCCCCCCTAGCTTCCGAGGCAGTGATGAACCCAGATTTTTAGTGGCTGGTGGCTGGAAGGGAGGCGGACTCGGAGCAGGGGCGTTTCAAAAGGGCGGGAGGGCCTGGAACTTGTTTTTTTTCTTTCCTGTCACCTTGCCACCGTGGACAACCAGCATGAGGAATGTAGAAAGGCCAGGCCTCCTTGGTCTCTAGGCTGGCGAGTGGGGGTCAGGCCATCCGGGGCTTTTTCGTCTCCCTGGCCCGAGGAAGGCCTTCCAAACAAAAAACTCACTCAAACCCTTGGTGGGGAACATAGTTGGGGTTAGCAAAAAGGAGGGAAAAGCTCCCTCAAGACTTTGGGGAGGGACGGAACATGGTTGGGGTTGACCAGTTCTGAATTGAGGCTGAACCCAAACAAGAAACAAATTCCCCAGCTTTTTGTTTGGTACTATGTTCCCTCCGTGCCCAAAGTCTTGAGTGATCTCTTTGGTTGCCTGCGTTGTTGAAGCGATGTTGGTTCGGTTCTTCCTGTGGCCTGAGGTGTCTTGACGACACTCTTCGACAAAGAGGTTGTACATAGTCATGCGCCCTGGCGAGGAGCCATGACCCATGAGCGCACTGTCCCCAGGTGCGGAGATTCGCCTATGTGGGACTGACTCCCCGAGTTCCTGGACTTGAACTTTTGGGTTTGGACCATTTTGGGGGTAAATCACGAAAGCTAGCTTTAGCTAGCTGAAGTTTCTCCTTGCGTAAGCAAGGTAAGGGGCTCAAATGCCGAAAGATTGATTTGTTCATTTGTTTGAGCCGAAAATATTGAAAACACATAAATTATTTAGACCCCCCCCCCCCCCCCGGTCTCAGGCTCGATTCCTCCCTGGTCCATCCCCCCCCTTTCTGGGCAGTGGCTCAGTGTTCAGCAGTCTCGGTTTGCCCGTTTTGGACTTGGTGCTACGAACTTTTACATGTTCCACCGATTCAGCTTGTTCATTTGAGACCTCAGTCTTCTCGGTAAACCACCTCGCAAGAATCTTTGCACACGCAGCATGCAGAACCCAGAGGTGCTTTAAGACAGCTTCTGACGCCTCTCGTTGTTTTCATTTTTCAAGGTTTGCCACGCCACCATGTGCGTTTGCGTGTCGCATCCTACGAATCTTGCCGGGCCTCTCGTTGTACACAAGCTACCCATGAATCCACTCTGTCACCGACCCATCGCATGCAACAACTGCTAGCTTTCGTTCACCCGCTCCTCAAGTAAACAGTTCGGTCTTTTATTGGCCAATCCATTCAGGAAGTGAGTTGAAATAACCGTGCGAATGAATCCGATGCGTGCCCGGAAACCCAATCAGGGCTAGAGGAGGATCAGTTTGTTCATAAAACTTCACGCCTCCTGCATCGCCGCATCTCTGAGTTGATTCGAAACGATTCGATTTGCCATTGTTCACTGCCGGCCGAACCTTTTGCCCAGCTACAGACTAACTTTTTGCCCAGCTACAGACTAACCTTTTGCCCAGCTATGCCCTTTTGAGCTTAACTGCTTTGATTTTCTCTTTTCACCGAACAAGTTGTACCCTTTTTGCAGGGCTAGGCCTGGGTTCGGGTACTGAATCTCAGCTCGCCGACCGAGCGATTTGCCGCGTGACCTGTAAGGTGACCCTGCTGAATGTGACTTGGCCGGGACTCGAATCAGGGAGTGTCACGGGCTTTGGATGATATTCGCTCAGGTAAAATTGAGGGACGCAAAAGAAAACCTCAGTTGTCCAAAGCGAATCGACCTGTTTGACGTTTCGGTTGCCTTTGTGAACCATGTTAATTCAGTCAGGCAAAGTAGACAGGCGTGTCTGCTTTGCGGACATTCGGGCTGGTGGAATGACACCGCTTGCGGCGAATCCTTTGGCTTCCTTGTTGCGGGTGAATGGTGATGCATATGCTAGCACAAGTCTTATCTTTCTTTGCTTCCCCGAGGAAGCCAGTCCGCGGATCCGCCAAGTGTTCTGTGGAGCTTTAAAAATGCACACTTACCGCAACAAACTAAAAGGTTAGTCACATGTTTGCCCGGGAGGGGGGGGGGGGGCTGGCCTTTGAACCACCATTGGACACCCGTTGCTTAAAAAGAAACAACATGTTTTGCCTCTTCTGTTGGTTTGAAAAGGAATCTATCGCACACATGTTCTCATTTTTTCGCGGGGGACTTATAGCAACTGGCACCCAAAATCGGGATGCTGCGGGAGCAGGTGGCAGATGACAAAGTCCTGTCCTTCCCGGAGACCTTCCTTTGGGGTGCTGCAACTGCCGCCTACCAGGTGGAAGGGGCCGCGCCCGGGTGTGAATTGTTTTTTGGTGGGGGTCTTGGTGAAGAATGGGTGGGGGTGGGGGTCTTGCCGTTGGGTTTTTCGGCTTCGGGTTGTCTAACTAGGTCCCCCAGTAGTGCCCTTGTACCCTTTTTTTGGGGAGGGTTCCCCTATACTAAAATAGACTACACAAACAAAAGGGTACCCTTATTCTAACCTCTCAACTGGTTCGACGGCTTTTTATGAGTGTGACGAGGCAAGCATCACCTTGTTGTGTCGAGAAAAAAAAGAGACTCCCCACAAATATGTGGTTTTCTGTTGCTTTCCCTTGGGCTCACCTGAAAAGGGTAACCTCAAGAAGCCCACATTTTCCGTTTTGGCGGCCCAGTCCGCCCAATGAACCCCACATGATAGAACCTAGCCTGCTATTGGAAGAGGTGCCACCCACAAAAATGCAGTCCCACTGCAAAAGGGCAAACCCTCATAAAATCAACCAGGGATTCGGTTGGCGAGGTTGGGGTGCACGAACGATAGAGCTCAGCTGTACCAACCCGACAGTTAGACCTTTGGAAGCTTCAGATTCAGCCCGGTTCCGTTTAGCCCACATTTTTCCGTTCAGCCAGGCTCCCCCTGGGTCCCGACTCGGCGTGGCGACGACTGGAGTGCTTGTTATCTCCGCCCAATGAACCGTTTTGCGGCTTGAAATGCGAGGTTTCCCTGCCAGCAACCAAGGTGGCCAGGGCCGGTCTTCCAGGGTCTGACGTCCATGTTGGGAGGCCAGGCTTTCATTCAAGGTGCCGTGGCTCCCGGTTCGGTGGTTTGGCTTTCTGTTTTGCTTGGCCTGGCAGCCCGAAAAGGAATGGGGTCCATCCTTGGTTGCCAGGGTCATTGAGTTGCTACCAGGGGCCAGTTTCAAGGCGAGCCCACCCATGTTCACAAGCCAGCGCCCAACACCCCACACTGGCATTTAGTAGGTTTTTTTTTTACTACTTCTGGTGGTCGTAGTTATGAGGTCTGTAGAAGTCGGTAGAGCAATCTTGGTACAAGAAGTCGATGGATTTTTGGCACCGCCAAAATATTGTGGATGGACGAATTCCTGCACCACCCAAGGCTCCCAGGAATGATGATTGATTCCCTTTAAAAGGAAAGCTGTCTTCCAGCCCCCCCCCCCCCCCTTCCGTCAGGTTCCATGTTAATTGGTGGGAGGGTACTTGTTTGCTTCATGTTTCCTCTATGCCTCAGTTGTTCAAAGCGAATGGAAGCAAAGCGGTGCGCAATGGGATTTTGTGGCTGCCAGCGGCTTACTGAGGCGAACCGGGACGGGCGCACACCCAGCATCTGGGACACCTTTTGCTCGGTGCCCGGGAAGATCCGAAACGGGGACACAGGAGAGACCGGAGGGAGGTGGGGGGGGTGGGGGTGGGGGGGGGTGGGGGGGGGAGGGAAGATGGGGGCAGAGCGAAGGCTTGAAGTGCGAACTGCGCACAGGATGCTTACCTGGCTGTGGGTCAAAAACAGCAAAGGTTTCTAGCCCTGGGCGTTTTCAGTTGTTCATTCATGATGAAGGGTGTCCAGCAGGAACTGCTTCACTCCTACAGCGCCAGCTGGCTTGCTGAAAATGCTAGTTCTTGCTAGTGGCTAGTAAGCCTGGTAATAGCAATTACCATGGTTAGAAGTACCCTGCCCGATGCTTTTTGGCATGCATGTTCATCGCGTTGAGCGGCGCATGAGTTCAAAAGTAGAGGCTTTGAGGTCTATGCATTTGGTGGGAAGCGTTATTCTGGTCATTTGCTTCCGCCAAGAGAGACACTGGCACAGCTTGCCTGACTTAGCCAACCCTTCAGCATTCGATCTTTTGGGCCTACTTGATTTTCCACCGGCAATCCAACAGAAAGGAACATGAAGGGGGGTCCGCTCATCCGGGCAAGACAGCATGAAGGGGCGGAAGCAGAGTTGCAGGGCAACAGCTCTCTTCCAATGCAGATGTGGGTATAGCAGATCAAAACAATAGGTGGGCGTGTCTGTGTGTGTGTGTGCGTTTTTTGGGGGGTGTTTTGGTGGTTTGCGGGGACACTAGAAGGACAACCACCCATTTTTGGGGCCAACAGATTTTGACATATGCCGATATGCCAAACAACTTAAATAACAAGCTCACTTCCTGAGTTCATGGCCTTTAGCCACTTTTTGGGAAGCCCATTTGAGCCACAATCAAAACCTGGGTATATGAAGGTTAGTAAGGGACAACCCCAGCCATAAATAGTTGCGGAATTCCGCCTGCGTATTTCCTTACATGGTTCTGGGTCAACTATTTTAATACCGGGTTTTGATTGTGACTCATTTAGTGGCACTTTTTGGGAAGCCCATTCAGTGGCAAATAAACAGTTCCGACTTTTCCAGGCCCATCCCCTCGATCGGAAGTGAGGAATGGAGCGCAAGTGGCCCAGATTGGCGCAGGATGTTATTTTTTGCCGTTGCTCAGCAGGGAATGAGGGAATGAGCAGCAGGGAATGAGTGGTTTCCTTTAAGGGGACCCCAGGTTCATTCCCACAAGCCCTACTGCAAGTTCCCCAAAGCGCCGTCCGGCGAGTGAATCAGGAGCCACTGCCTGTGAGCACTACCACCGCAACTCGACTGAGTTCGACAGCTTTGCCTGAGGCAACTTGACGATTCTCTTCCATTTGCTTACGAGGGGAGGTCAGGTTGTGGCACATGGGCACTGGTTTTTGCTATGAATCTTCATGGGGAAGACCCTCCCAAATGGTCGGTGGCCATAAATCCCCACCTACGTGAATGAGTTGCATCGTTTCTACCTGGGACCTGGGAAGAAACACATTTACAAGTGGTTTCCCAAACTGGCCCATGTTCCATCAAGAAGGTCTAATCATAGGAACTGGGCCAGTTTGGGAAGCCACCATTTGCTGAAATGAATATTCCTTACAGGGAATCTATCACTACTGGACATATTTGCTCATTTTGTCCTGGGACGAAAAAACAATAAAGGTCAACATTTCAATCGACTCGGTGCTAGCCCGGCTCGTTGCTGCGAGTCGGCATGGGTTGGCTTGCATCATGTTCGGATAGGCACGCGGTGATTTAGGATTGCCCTTGTCGCATGGGCGCGTGGGAAATAGGGTAATTTCTGCAAGGGAAACCCCCTTAAAGTATGGTCAAGCGATGGGAATCCTACTTCGGTACCACAACAAGGGTTATTTCCACCAACTGGCTTGCTCAGGATTGCCACGTTTAACTAATTGGCCATTTGAGCGGATTGAAATCGGCACAATCTTTGGGTGGGTATTATAGGGACTTCACTGTTCTTGGCACGTGTTTGTTTGTTTCTTTAGTTTTTTGGTTCTCATTTTTACTGGGGGTCTGCAAAAAACGGTCAGTTTTTTGCCAGCCCATACCAAGAGTAGAAATGGGAACCTTTGGATTGGAAGTGTTCAAAGCTTTCCGAGGCTTCGTTGAAGACGTGGGGCTGATGAAGGACTTGGGGCTGCGGGCCTACCGTTTTTCCATCTCTTGGTCCAGGCCGGCAAAGTGGCAAAGTGGAAAAAGGAGTCAGGGATAGGGTGGAAATACTCAGTTGCCCAAAGCGAATCGACCTTTTAACCTTTTGGTTTTCCAGTTTTGGTACCCATTTTTAGTCATGGCTTCAAAAGATTAACCTTTTATTTCTGGGTCCTTTGGGCAAGTGAGAATAGGATTGTTTACTCAGTTGGCTGTGGTTGTCAACACCGTTTTGGGATCCCATTTTGGTTGGTAGGTGAAGTCACCACTCATTTTAGTCGGGATTTTAGTAGAGATTGGGATGTTCACTGGGGGTACGATTTGGATTTTGACCCACGGCCAGTTGTTCAGACCTAAGCTTTTGACCTTTTTGGTTTTCCCTGGGGTAGACTTAGGATACATTTTACATCTTACCAGAGACTGAAAGTGAAGCAAACAATAAAATATGCATTCTACAACTAACTCTGATCATGTTCCTATTTTCTAAGAACTCTACACCATACCTTTGGACCATACCCCGACCAGTTTTGGCACAGTTTTCAAGGTTTTAGCCTACTCCAATTTGCATCACGCAGGTTTTTGCTATGCACTTTCTGTGGCCGGTGAAGGGTCAACGCAAAGTGAAAAAGGTGAGAGCTTTCAAAGAACTGTTTACCAATTCTGCGCCTGATTTGATCCCTTGCTGTGGCCAGCATGGTTCTGCACATGATGGAAACCCGAATCAGCTTTTGTAAACTGCAGTGAAAGCTGTTCCAACCAATCCTGGGACCTGTCCCACCGAAAAAGCACTTGTTGTGGGAAACTATGGCATGGCACTGCGGTCGGCTTCCCCCCTTCACCAGGTCCCCAGCTTCAGGGTCCGGAATGTGTGTTTTGGTGGAATGGTGGGGTTGGGGTATGCTCAAGTCAGGCTGCGTATGCCGTGGAAATTGGGCCCTGATTTGAGCATACCCCAAATTGGCAAGGTTCGGGGTATATTGTTAATGTTTCCGGGAGAAAAGACTCCCAAACCGCCCCCAACTCCTTTTCCCAGGATTGGAGAATTGAGGACATGGCTACCCTTGGGGCGTCCCCTGGGGCCTAAACCAACCCCGTGCTTACCCTTGTTCGGAAGCCGAAATGAGTTCTCATCATCACCAAAAATTAACGTAGCAGCTTTAATCCCAGGCCTGTTTGCAGAGTCCATCAGAGCAAGTTAAACCCTCGCTGCGCCCTTGGCTGTCCCTAATCGAATTAATAGCTTTGCACCTTACTTTGCGAGCATCATTGTCAAACATGCCCAAAATAGCCCAAAATATGCTAAAACACGTATTTTTGGGGTATGCTGAAAAGGAATGGTCCTGGGTTCTTAGATATTTGGGTTCTTAGTCATAACCCCAAAAGGAGATCACCTTTAGTTTTAGGTTTCTAGGTGGCTGAGGTTCAGTACGTCGCCAGTGTTTCGGATGCGGCGGCACACACCTTTGTAAAGCCGCCGCCCCACAACCCAGGTAAGAGAGAGGCCAGAGACAGAGACAGACAGCCAACAGGTCCTGTCAGAAAAGCTGGAGACAGCCAACAGCAAATCAGAGTTCAAGGCAAAGTATTTACACACATCCAGTGCACCAAAAAAAACAAAACGGTCTTTTATCACCAGGTATCATAGTTCTCGGTGATGTGGCGCGGCGTTTTCAAGTCACCCGCCCTTCACCACCACCCTCCCCACCGGTAACATCGGGGGAAAGGGGGGGCGGGGGTGTTGACTAGCACCCCCCCGCCGATCACAAGGAGGCAGTGGGGGTGACCACCCCCCACCCCCCTCACCCCCCCCCCCCCCCCGCACGCCACGAGGCATAAGCAACAGCCACAACTTCTTACAACTTCTTTTCTTATCTCGCCCGTTTGAGGATATGCCGTTTCTGATTCTCCGCGCCGCGCTATGGAGGGAGGTCTTTCTTTGTTGCTTCGTGTTGTTGATTTCCTGTATTAGCTTTTTTTCTTCTTTGCTGGCTAGCTTCTTTCGCTAGCTTCTTTCGCTAGCTTCTTTCTTGTATGCCGTGCTGCCAGTTGCGACCTGCGCCGAGCTGCCATTGGTGGCTGCGCACGTTCTGTGTGCGCGCTGCGTCTGGTCGGCGCCGTGGTCGTCTTGGTGGCCGCGCCTGCGCGTGCTGCAAGCCCCCCCCCCATGCTACAAAAACACCTTTGGATTTTATGTTATTTATATATATATATATATATTTGTTTTTTTGGGTGTTTTTTTTTGGGGGGGGTCTCCGGTTTGTTGCCTTACATACCTGTTTAACATTGGACTTGAATTAGAAAGTGGATCCGCTTTGATGTGCAGGAGGAAACGCTCAGATTGCAACTTTTAAGTAAGAGCTGAAAGAGACATGCGCGGACTCTAGTACTAAAACTTGTTTGGGGTTTTGGAGCTGCTACATATGGTGCGTAGGCTAGGCAGGGAGGCCCTAGTAATAAAACGCTTTGCGTGGAAGCCCATTTGTTTCCCTTCTGTTTTCAAACCTCCACCAACTGTTTCATAAAACCATAACAAGAAAGCCCTGTCGCGGGAGGCCACCCGTTGGCTTCAGAGAAAACATGCTGAGGATGCAACTTTTGAGTTGGAAGTGCAAAGGAAAGGGTGTTGGGCACATAGCTTGGAGCCTGCTTGTTCCAACACATTTGGAGGGGGGGCCAATAGGCACATGTTGAGAGCTTGGTGGGGAACCTCTAGATGTTGGCATCGCGTGTTGTTTGGCCTGATGTTTTTGGTCTAGAACATGCGACCTCTTCTTGCGCGCAAACTGTGAAACACAAGCCTTCGTGGCTTCTTCAAAGCAGCAGCCGAGGCTGCAGCCTATTATTTGTTCACTTGACCCTGGCCACCTTTGAATTTGCTCGTGTGAGATTGGCACTTACGCCAAACAGCCCGCTGCTTCAGTGAGCGCGAAGTGCGAGTTCTGCGGATGCGGTGGCTTGCTTATGTTCACCGAAACTCTACACCCTCGAATGTGGCTATCAGAACATGGAAGAGCGTCTTGAAGCAATTTTTCGCCTCACCCTGCAAAATGAAGGCAGCGATGATATGGGGCGTGCGCCTTAATGCAGCGCTCGATGCGTGCGCCCTTAGCCACTTCGGCATTGCTGGTTCGACTCCGGCCTTCGGCCTGATCTCCATTCGAATGTCTGCAGCAGCTGAGAATAAAAAACCAAAAGAGGCCGCACTCTGTCCAGCCATTCCAGCCCGCAACCACGCGCGCAATTACGGAAGCAACATGCATCTCTGAAATGTGTAGGTGTTACCGGTGCAGCAAGTTTTGCCAAATTTACGCAACAAAACTCTGCTTATGCTCTGCGTTGTTAACCCCACTTCCAGACTGGCATCTGGCGGTGCCCTTGCGTTTTTTTTCTGGATTGTGTCTTCATGGGTGGTCTTCATCCGCTTGAATTCCACTGCTAACCTGCAGCGGAGGCTCCCAAGAGCAGAGCGGAGGAGGATGCGGCGGCCGATCATCTGGAATGGATGCGCCAATATGTGGGGCAGCTCCAAGAATGTGGAGACCAAGGTCAAAGCAACCGGCGAGTAGATTTCTCTGTGGTGTCTCTTCAAGGCACCGCCAAGACAGACGGTGCAATCTTTGCCGGCGCCAAAACCCTTGTACCCCAAGGACACTCCGCCGGCAGGTCGGCAATTTCAGCGCCTTGGCCAACAGGCTAAGAAGCACAGGAAGACCGTCTATTGCCCCGACGAGTGGGGCTTGGCCGTGATGCCAGCTCGCTGTCCTGCGCCGAAAGGAACTTCGGCGTCGCAAATGATGGCGATGCTGTTGAGCTGCTTGCTCGTGTTGCCAGGAGGTCATTAACCCCAGCCGCTGGAGGCATGGCGGGTGTTGCAGACAGGACTGCGCTTAGCGCTTTCCAGTGGTGGTGCCATTTGCTTTGCTGAGGGGCGTTGTTGCTTCAATCAGTTTTGCTCAGGAGCTTTGACAGTGCCAATGGCCTAGCAACGACCTTGCAACGTGATCGGCTGCACCACTACATGTTCGAAGATCACTCGGCGGCGACGTTCCGAGTGCGCAAAGCCAGAATCTGTGCTGTTTGGCGACACCCGGACGTCAGCAAGGACTGATTTATTAAAAGCGTTAGCTATTTGTGCCGAACTGTCTATAGCCAGAGTACCACAGAACGGGGGTGGTGTGTATTGGTGGGTGGTTGTGGTGGGGGGCTACGAACGGAGGCGGGGGGGGGGGTGGGGTGGGCGGGGGGGTGGAGGGCGTGGCTCCAAAACATGCCGTACATGTTTTTGAGCTTTTCCAGGTATGTCAGTGGCAAGAGTGGCTGTGTCTCTTTAGTGCCAAGGCCCGTAAATAATGCCTCGCGCCTCATTTTTGTGCAGAGCGATATGCTTTTGTTTGGGGACTATGCGAAGGGGCAACCCAATTTCGCACAAAGAACCACCTCATTGCAATGCGCAGCCTCTGCTCCCCAGCTAAGTTTTGAAGAACTTTCTATTAAAACGATTTGTACGATGCAGGTTGCAATTCTGCACAACACCTTCCATGAGAAAAGTTGCAGTTCTGCACAACACGTTCTATGGCGCAGGCTGCAAGTCTATACAGAACTTTCTACGACTTTGGTTTCAATTCTATGATGAACTTTCTTTGTTTTTTGCTGCAATTCTGTAAAGCACTTTCTATGATTAGGTAGCACTTACATGAAACCCCTTTGTTCTATAATTTGGGTTGCAACTCTGTGAAGACCTTTCTATGATTTAGGTGGCCATTCTACGAATCAATTTCTATGATCTAGGATGCAGTTCTCTGAAGAACTTTCTATGCCTGAGGTCGCAGTTCTATGAAGAACTTTCTCCGCCGTGCATTTGGGGAGAGGGTGTTTAACACCTGACCCCTTGTCTCGCAGCTTTTGGGTGACAATGGGGATTGCAAGCAACCTGCCCTGCATGGCAAGTGCAGTTTTACATGCTTGGTATGAGAAACAGGTGTTGTTAAAGGGGGTCGTCCGCTTCAAGGAGGGTCCAAAATACATACCTTCGTGCATGAGACTTGGTGAGATGTGGTTAGATCATGGTTGTTGTTGGGAAACATTTTACATTTGTGTTTCTTGTGGCTTAGTAGGAAATCCCAACTTAACTGCTAAAAAATAAATTGTTGCTCCCCTTCCAACGTCAACCAAGAGATTGGCTTTCAAAGCTTCGCTGAAGCTATGCTAGCGGTTTGCCGGGCCGATTTGCTTCGCGGTCCAAACCCTGAAAGTACTCTATTGAAGTGGGCGGGCGTTAGCCATTCATAAACAGCCTCTAGGGGTTGATCCCAACCATTCTTTTTCACCATCCTCGTTTGCTCAAAAAAGCAGATCGCTGTTGTTTTTTCCCGGGTTTTGTTGATTGTTATTTCCAAGAAGGGTCCCTGGAAATGGTGATGCACTCCCTCAAGCCAAAAAAGCGCATGGCGTCGCCAGGGTTGGTTGTTTTGGTCGAAGAAAGATGGCCCTTTACCTAGCCATCTATTTGCCCCAAAAGGCCACCTATGGCTACATGTGCCTTTTCAGGGACTGGCGAGAACGCTTCGACAGGCTACTGCCCTTTGGCAGGGGCAAAGTGAATCTGCGAGCCGTGGACTTCTATACCAGCCTTCTGCTGGAGCACCTCTGCTGCAACACTCGCACCTTTGTGCGCTTCACGGATTTCCATGCATTTTTTTCTTGGCCGTTGGGGTTCTGTTGATAGAAATACACGTATCCATATTTAAATTGCTGGAGTCAGCGACCTCGTAACGAGATGACCAAGCCTACCAATACTTCCATGTGCTGAAGCAAATTTGTGGTTTCCCTTGCTGGCTTTAAAGGGCATCTTTCACTACTGGAAATAGAGTGTTTCTCCTGAGGGGGTTAGGCAACATAAAATAGTACCAATGACAAGTACCAGGGTGTTTCGAGCACACCTGTTTCATTCCGAGTAGGCAGGGCTGGTAGGGCTACGGGAGTGAACCTTGCCTCTTGAGGTGAAAAATCCCTGAAACTCCGGGTGTGTGTTTTGAGGGGCCCGTTCTTGGGGCTGGCTGTTTGTTGCTTTTCTCAAGGGAAAGGAAAGACAAACCGCAAGTTTGGGGTTGCCCCATTTTAATCTCTTCCCCCAATACTACACGCCCCCCACCCCCCCCCCCCGAATAATATTGTCTGGGGGACAAACGATACTCATTCATAGGGTTCCTGGGTGTTGGCCGATTTCCTTTTGACATGAAAACCTTCAAAGTCGCAGTTTCCGAGTAACGCATTTAAGCAACACCGTTGGACTGTTGGATGTGGTGTTGCCTCTTTCACGCTTCAACAGCACAAGGCGCAACTTAAATTTGGGGTTACAGTTCATGAAATAAACTTGAAATTAGTAAAGGCGACATATGCATGTAGAATTTGGCATAATTATGGCTGGTGCTAGGAGCTTGACTGATTCTCCCTAATAAGGCTGGCGAGAAAAGTGGGAGTTTAGTCTTGGTTTGGGGAGTCGGCGGTTTGGGGAAATTTGGGAAATATAATTATTAATAGGCTGCATTGTTTCAAAGGGGGACGAGATTGACACCTACCCATTAGGCTAAACGAATAAAACTTTGGTGCGAAGTTTGCTTTGGGGGGGCAAGCGGGCCGTCCATGTTCCGCAGGCTCCGGCGCAGGAAGCACATGTTTCAGTTTTGTGAGCAGCCACATCCACCACGGCAGACGGGTATTGTGCTCAAGCCGATTGTTTGAGTCTCACAGATGAGCCGGTTCCCAACATCTCTGGCGTCCTCTGGATTCTTCTCCAAAGCCAGCCCCAAAACAGGCAAACAAAAATCCAAATACAAAATGCGTTTTGGCGTTCGTTGGGCACACAGGTTTTCCAAGGCAACATGCCTATGTGTTGTTCAATCAGGGATTGACATAACACTCTAAGACAGAGTGGGGTAGTTGGAGTAGGGGGACCCTGCAGAGACTGCCACCCGCTTTGCTGGAAACTGACAGTACTACCAATCTGCCTATTTTCGAGCGAGCCCACCGATCCGGGGTTAAAATGAGCTCGCCATGAAGGTCCCGTCCATAGCCCCCCCCCCCCCCATTGCATACAAAACTGAGGCTGAAGAAGAGCAAGACGCCTGGCTGCAGTTCACGCACCCCTAATTTCAAGGAGTTGCTAACGGGTTCTGCGAGGAAGGCGCCTGGGGAAACAGCTGGTTGTTGAAAAGAACAAGTTGAAAACTAATGGGAAATCAAGCCCTAGAAAAGAGGCAACACCCGCACTCCCGTCGATGAAGCCTTCCAGACTCGGAATGCTTTGACTTGAAAAGGCCCAGACCCTACCATGAAAAAGCAATGGCCATCCTGGTTGTGTAGGCCTCGCAGAACCCGTTGGACAGTTGGATGTTTTTTTAGAAAGAAGGATGCCTGGAAAGAATGGAAATGGAAGGTACCCCTAGATCTTTGGGTAGTGTCCAGAGCCCTGAGGGGCGCCAGAGCATCACGATGCTTCATCTTTTTGCCTAGCTGGCATTTGGAGGGAGCTGGACGAAGGGACATTTATTTGTTCTTCTTAGTTGCCCAAAGCCGACCTTTTGACCTTTTGGGTCTAGTTTTAGTCATTGCCCCAAAAGATTAACCTTTTATTTCTGGGTCCTTTGGGCAAGTGAGTCTTTTATGGCCATGGTCAACACCCAACGTGGCGATTGCAACCCCGTTCCGCAATCGAAGGCAAGCTGCAACTACAGTGGTAGGTCCATTTCATTTCATTGCTCCTAAAAGACTTATCAATCCTGGTATTCGAACATAAAAACTCAAGGACAGGTAGATGTTGGGTAGATGTTGTGTTGATTTTATTTGTTGTTGCATTTGCATCATTATTAATACGTGTATTCCTACAAATCCTGGAAGCATTAATCCTGGTCCTAAAAAGAAGCTACCTATAGCCAGATTAATCAACTAGCCATAATCAAGATTATGCAGTCTACATTATTATCCTAGTTACCTTGAATTTATGCCTAAAATCGATTATGTAGATAATTCGCCAAGCTGCAAGCGCAGTGCCAAGCAGACGCTCGCTGCCGCAAGGATCACTCCGGTGGTCACGCTCTATCACTGGGACTTGCCGCAATGCCTGGAAGATGAGCGACTTGTCGAAGCTTTTTTGACCCCAGTCGTCAGGTGTTGAGCAGCCTAAAAAACATGACTAGATCCCCCAGTCGTGCCCCTTTACCCTTTTTTGGGGCAGGGTTCCCCTACTAAAATAGACTACAGAAAAGAGGGTACCCTTATTCTAATCTCTCTACTGGAGGACCTATGATAAGTTCCCCAAAGGAAGCCCAAAAAAGATTGAATTGTTAAAGATTCCTTGTTTGGGGCGTGTCCCGTGTTTTGAGTGGATCCGGAGTACTTTGGTAGAACCCCCCCTATTTGTCCGAGAGGTTGAAGATTCTGTCTGCAGGAATCAGAGCCGCCCATTCTGAAAGTCCTAGTGACTGGGTTTTTCCGAAAAAAATGCACACAGACCCAAGCAAAGGCCTCAAACAAGTGTACAAACCCATGGCGGTTTTCCGGCATGGCCTCCTTTTTAAACACCGCCCTCAACTTGCGGGCTTGGGCATGAACCGGAAGTGGATTTCCGGAAAGGAAGCTTAATCAAATCGGGGAGGGTTTTTCTTGGTCATTCCCTTAAGAACCAGCAAGGCAAAGGCTATCTTCAATCAGCACAGACCCACAAATCATGGTTGTTGGTGGGAAACATGTTGATTTTTGTTTTGCTTTTTGTGGTTTAGCGGTTGAAATCCAACCACGTAACTGCTAAAAAATATGTTTTAGCTCCCCAAACCCAACGTCAACCAAGAAATTGGTCTTTGCTTCGCCGCGCGCGTTCTAGTTTTGTTGTTGTTGTGTTTCCTTTTTTTGCGCGCCGCTTATAGCTTGGGACTCGGAGCATTTCAGCCGCCAGGTACGGCGGCTGGCTTTCTCGACAGGCCGGAGGGACGCCTTGGTGATGGAACACCTACACCAAGAGCTCCATTTTCTGAAGCGACTACGTTTTGATTTTGTTTCCCCTGTTAGTTTCAAAGGGAATAAATTTCGCTGGAGATACGTTCTCATTTTTTCCAGGGCTTGGACCAACTGACTTTTTGCCGCGGAATTTGCTGCTGGTACTCACTCCTTTCCAGCCTTGCGGTTTGAAGCATGCGGCTTGGACTGTTTGCTCCCATGCCTCAACAAGAACCACAGGCTCTCACTCCCTGTCCGGAACTCGGACTTTGGACCATTTTACTTCCATTTGCTTACGATTTTGTGTTAAAGCCGCTGTTGGCTTTAAAGGGGATCTGTCACTACTGGAAAAATGTGTTATTTATTTTTCCAGGGGGCTTAAGCAAATGGTAGTTTAGTGGAAAGCAGGACGTTTGGACTTTTGGCGGCCCATCCACTCAGGAAGTGAGACCAAGGTGAAGATGGCAGACTTGTCTTTGGCTAGGGCGCCATCTACCCTCACCCAAATAACTGCAGTGCCCGGCATTTCCTCAAGAGAAGGCCTTTCTTTGCGGACACCCGTGTTTTGGGGGGCGGGGGAAGGGCAAGATGGGAGTGGCATGGACTGACCCCAATCAACAAGCTGATCAAGGTTGAATGTGAGTTCCGAGTAGGGCAACAAAAATCAAACACCGAGCTTCTCAGCAAGGCTCCCAAGCGGGTCATTCCCAAAACACTTCGAAGTTTCTTGCTGGGCAAGCAACTTGTCTTGCTGACCGCGAAAGATCCCACTCGCGGGTCTCCAGGAAGGTTCCTTTCTTGTGGCGTTTTCAGGTTTCCTGGGGGGAGAACAAGAAGACCGCTCCTTTTTTTTTTTTTCGGTCAAAGAGCAATGTACCAGGCATAGTCTCTCTCTCTCTCTTTTTTTTTTGGGGGGGGGCGGGGGGGGGGGGGAACGGTGGTTTTCATCGGGTCAATTTCCCCCCCCCCCTCCTCTTCCCTTGGCGCCGAAACGTCTTCGCGCGCCGAACCGTCGAATCGCGCGCCGGATCTCAAGGTGATCGCAGACTTTGAAGCCTTCGCCTCGATTTGTTTCGAGACCTTCGGAAGACGCTGGCGCTGGATGGGATGGGATGGCTGGGCTGGATGGGTGAGTTTTGTGGTGTGGGGGTGTGGGTGGATGGGTTGGCTGGGTATGGGTGATTTGTGTGGTGTGGGATGGGATGGGTCGAGTTTTCTGGGATGGGTTGGATGGGCGATTTTTGTGGATTCATTTTGTGTGTAGGGTTAGAAGGGTGGAAGGGTGCAATTATCAAGATTGGGTTGGATGGCATGGATGGCTGTGGATGGGTGGATGGGTGGATGGGATGGATGGGTTGTCGGTGGAAGGGGTAAAGTCGAGGTTAAGATTATATATTTTGTTTGCAGGGTGCGTAGGGTTGGAAGAGGCGGAAGAGGCGGAACCATCAAGATGGGTAGAGTGATTGCGGGTTTTGGTGGTTGATGAGTTGGGTGTGTCAAACAGGGAACTCTCCACGTGTTGCATGCTATGCCCTATTTGTCACCTGGTCGACTAGTCCATTAGCGCGTTTTGGGTTGGCTTAGAGAAGGCAATTGCGCACGCCGGCTTCGCCATTTGCGGGCCGAGCTTCATCATCGACAGTTGGAATCTCACGGGGTGAGCTATTCTTCACTTGCTGGTGGCAAGTCTTTCAGGTTTTTGGTTTGTTGGTTCGGTTCACGTTTAGCAGAAGGCTGCAAAGAAACCCCAAGAGTTGTAAAGGATTTCAAATGCCATGGGATCCTTTGGAGCTACTGAAATCCATTTTGCCCCACTGTTCAGCGACCCTGGAATGATTCGATTCCAATGCCAACGGACAATGGCTTCAACCATGGGTTCAAAGTCGTGCAGGAATTCATCCATCCACAGTATGAGGCTTGTATACTTGTCATGGCTGCCAACAGTTTCAATAGTTCTAGGACACCCCTGTTTGTTTAGTTTCAACAGTTCTAGGACACCCTATTAGTTCATCAACTAGGGCCTATTCATCCGAGGTTCCCAGTGGTCATTCCACTGCATCAGGATTTAGGCCACCGTAGGTGTGCCAAGCTGTCAGCCGAGGCTATGTGAAGTACTGGATTACCTTGAACGACGCTTGGCCTGGCATCTGTGTTTCTTGTGGCAACCGCAGACTTCTGCGTCCAGCTTGAGCTGCTGTGAATGGAACCAATTCTTATGATACCTATCCCCTGCAACGTGATGAAGTAGTCAAGGGGATAGCCCGTTTTGGTAATTGTCACAGAACTTCTTTTGGTCATCGCGCCAATGACTGGATGGTGATGTGTGTCCACCGTTGAATTGTGGCAGCGAATGCCAGACTGAACTCTCTGTGGCTTTGTTCCGGAGTGGAATTCAGCATGTTCAAGCAACCACCAGCAGAAGGGTTTCCTTTTTTCCTGGGTAGATGTGATGTTCCTGCCGCGTTGGGCGTCCATTTTGTTGGAGACCGCCCTTTCTTGTGTGAGCCTGTTGGCAGCATGTTGGTTGAAGAATGTACGTCACCATGTTTGGTGGCGTCTTGAAATTCTTCCATCTGCTTAAAGAAGCCGCCAAAAGCACATGAGCAACAACTCCTACCCGCTAAGATGGGAAAGATCATGTTCCTTTCAAAGGAAGCCTTTGGTGGTTCCACCGGTTACCTATATTTCCCTTCAAGCATGACCCTGCCCAGAAGAAATACACTCTGAATCTGTTTTTCCCAGTGATGCTTAAAACCACCCGTGAGGTTTAAACCTGTTCCACGTGGTCCCCCTTCACATGAACACGGAACCTACCAAGGCCGTCCGCCCCAAAGCAGGCTCCTCTCAAGGGTTTCGTAAGACTGCTGTCTCCGAGACGCGAACGATAAAGGTTTCTTTCTGAAGCATTTCGATGTAGGTCATCTTGGTGAATCATTATTCACCCAGATCATTGTCATGATTCATGATGATTCTCTTGAGAAGCCGCACTCTTTTTTTTTGGGGGGTGGCGACGCCCGTAGATGATTGGATCACTTTGAAAGGGCCCGAAAAGGTCCCCAATCTGGTGGGTTCCGTCCGGTTTGAACAAGGGAAATACTTTCAGTCCTGGGCTGCCCTTTTTAGGGCAAAGCAGTTGCCCTAAGTACAAAGCAGTTGCCCTAAGTACAAAGCAGTTGCCCTAAGTACAGAGCAGTTGCCCCAAGTACACAGCTGGCTTTCTTCAGCAAACTTTCTTTTCAGTATGTCAAAGCATCATTTTCTTCAGCAAAAGGAGGTTGCTTGGTGCCTTCCTTCCCTTTCAGTATTTTCTAGGGGTACCTTCCCCATTCTTTCCAGGAAACCTTCTTTCTACAAGACCACCCAACACCCTGAAAAAAACAGCTGGTTTTTGAAAAGAACGATGGTTGAAAAGAATGGAAGAGGAATCAGCCCCTAGAAGCCTAAGGAAAATCAAAAGGGCGACCAAAAGGAACTAAACGGACGCCACAAGGAATCAAGCCCTAGATATTCGGGTCCTCCGTTCGCCCCCCCAGGAGCCCTGGTGTTGCTGCGCCTTGGGCTACGCCTCCGGGGAGCACGCGCCGGGCCGGTGCTCCGCCCCCGGCAAGGAGCCGCGCCCCGGCGCGGAATTTTCCGGCGGGTGGTCCCGGAAAATGTGGTTTTGTTGGGCTTTCTTTTAGCCCAAGACCAGGAGATGTCGCCAGAAATAAGTTTTTTTTTTTTGGGGGGGGGGTTTGGGGGGGATGTTGAGCCCATATTAATCAACCTCTGTTGATGAATGGGGTGTGGAACCCTTTTCAGGCAGGGTTCTAGGGGCTTTCGGTGCTGTTGGGGATGCCACCTGGGCTTATTTCAAGTCTTTTTGTTTGTGCGTTTCTTCGTTTCTTTGTTTGTTTGTGTTTTTGTTTGCGGGTGGGTTGGGGTGGGTTTAGTAATTTAGGCATCCTTCTTGACCTCCAGTGGGTTGCGCATCCGTTTTTTTTTCTCCTCAACTGTTGGAGGGAGCCCATACACCAAGAGGAAGCCCAAGAAAGATGGGCATGGTTTTCAAGATTTTTCCAGGCCCGCTCGGCACCCAATAGTCTTGTTAGTTCCTCTAATTATGATGATGGTTGACTACCATTCGGGTACGGACATGTGTTATCGAATTGTATTTTCCCTTGTTGGTTTTAAAGGGAATCGATTTCACTATTGGAAATTATTATTTTTTTGCAGGGGGCTCAACCAAATGGAAGTTGATTCATGTCAGTTCCATGAAAACGTTGTTTGGGCACAACTAGGGATACGGTCCCCTTTTGTGGTGATAGCATCGCAGCAAGTTGTTCACCTTTCAGCTTCCATATCCGACTAAAGTCAATCCGTCCAAAAGCTGGTAGGGACGTAGTCCCCGTAGAGAGTCCCATCTAGTGGGATATGTTTCGAGCAATGCTTAAACTTTCAGTAGAACTTTGAGTGCTCATTTATGAGCTGTACCCTCCCACCTCTTAACACGGAACCTGACAGCGGGTCCCTTTAAAAGGAAAGCAATTCTCCAGGAACCCCCTGTCAGATTCCATGCGAAAACTGGAACCCTCCTACAGGAACAGGAGCCTTTGGCCAGATATCGTTTCTCTCCTTTTTGTTCAGCACTACCTGAGATGCTAGAGACTTCCATTTGCTGAAATTGATATTTGTTATTTTCCCCTGTTGGTTTTAAAGGGAACCTATCACTAGTGGAACTATGTTCCTGGGGCTTAAGCAAGTGGACGAAGATGAATTGCGTTTGTTATTTGGCATTGAACACATCAGCAACGCCCGTTTCAGTTCAGTGTCCCCTAGTGCGGACGGTTTGCACCCACTCCTGAGCCTGACATCCCTTGCAGCTAGGTACGCCGTTGCGCACAACATGCTGCTGGCACATGCGCGAGCGCCTCGCAGGGCAATGGATGCTCCACCCCTGCAGGTTAAGATGCAACACCACCAGCCCGCATGGGTAGAAGAAACTCCTTTTGTGGGACCTGCGTGTGGGTGTTCCATGTTTTTGTTTTGTTTTTGTTTTTTTGGCAGGGAAGTTAGCAAGAAAAGGGGGAGTTTTTGGCCACAGCAAAAGTTAGACTGTTGCTTGAGAGAGGGAAAAAGAGCGAGAGAGAGAGAGAGAGAGAGAGAGAGAGAGAGGCACAGAGAGAGGCCAAGAGCAAAATGGGCTGAGGCTTTGCTTGTTGTGACGGGCTTGCAATACTAGCCAATGTCCTAAACTGCCTGTGTTGGCAAGCCTTGAACCTTTGGGTTGCAGGTCCTGCCTGCGTTGTAGTTTGCCAGGCTTTGCGGCGGAAGGTTCAACTCTGCATTGGCGAAGCAGCCAGACTTAACATCCCTGTGGGGAGCTACAGACCACTTAAAGGTGCAGGGTACTTAGTAAGTGGTTAGTATGCCTGGGATATATCCCGCTTGCCATGGCTATAAGTCTCCTAAGCGGGTTCTAACCAGGCTTACAAACCACGTACTAAGTACCCTGCCACTTGCAGTACAGAGCCCAATTGCCCCAATATCATTGCTTCTGCCCCTGCGGCTGCCGCTTGAAATTTCCACCTGAGTCAGACCCATTGAGTGTACCATGTGTACCTTTGTTTGGGTTGTTTCAAGGGGCACCAAGATTGCCCATTGTTCCCATGGATTGCCCCATTTGGAGCAAACCCACCAGCAGGGATCTGAGAGCATGTGTGTGTTGTTTCTACCCCTGACGCCATGTACCTCTTGCATGCCCACGTTTCATCCCCGCTGACCGCATCGCGTGCTTTGCTTCTCGGCATCTCAGGCCGTGAAGTGCTTCCGGGAATCCTTTCAGAAGCAGCAGGGCGGCGTCATAGGCCCGGAGAAAACGTGGCTGAGGAATTTTGACAGGTCGCCCCAAGACGACGGCAACTCCCGAAGCCCGGCCGGATCTATGACCCACGTGTCTTTTGCTTCGGATTTTCACCTGCAAGGCTTCCCCAAGGCTTGGACCCATGGCTTATTCGGACGGCACTCGCAGCCTCTAGGCTCGGCTTATGCACGCCCCAGTTTTGCCAAAGAAGTACAAATCGGGTTATCGTCAGCACGCCACTTGGAATCCCATTTGCAAAGTCGCGCACAACTTTTTCATCCAACCATCCGCATTGGTCACTTATGCCCTGAGCGCCTCAGCGCGGCCAAAAATGCTCGCGTCACCGCTGGCGCCGGCGGTGCCGGCTCCAGCGCCGGCGCCGGTCCGCGTCCAGAGCTCGGGTTCCGCAACTCCCGGAGCCGCGCCTGGAACGGCGCCCTTGGCCACTGGCGTCGCGGCCGCGGTCGCAGCCAGGAGAGGGGTTTCCCTCACTTCCTGCGTTCCGGGACTTTAGTCGCTTTTTGGGAAAAGACCATTCTGGTGGTTCAGTCTTCGTCTGGCCAATCCACTCAGGGAGTGAGCTCCTGAATCCCTTTTTAACGCAAGAGACGTTCACTTTTTGCTTGTTGGATCAGTCAAGGAGAAGCCATGGTACCAGGAAGAGCCGCTGTCACATGAGGGCAGCTGGCAGGGGGATCACTCCAGTGGAGGACAGGGTTTATCCCATTGGCTGTGAGCGCGGCGTGCACACATGGTTTTCGCTCCGGCTCCCTCGAAACCTTTACGAGAAGCGGGCGTGTGACTTTTTTTAGTGGACCCCTCCCGAAAAACAAAGGCGCCGTTCCCCTTGGCTCCCATTTGAAACTGCCAAAAAGGGGGGGGGGGACTAACTCCAACCAGACACACCACCCATGTCTGGGGGTTGATTCCGACCATTCTTTTCAACCATCGTTCGTTTCTAAAAAACCGGATCCGCTTTCCCAAATTGTTTGGTGGTTTTCGAAAGATCCGGATCCCTGGGTTCAGAATGGAAATGGAAGCTACCCTGAGAATTGTACTTTGTAGGTGGTAAGCCTGGTTTTATCCCACAGGGGAACTTTATGCCATGGTGGGGTATAACCAGGCTTACTTTTTATTTACTTTTCATTTTCCAGATAAAGAAGATGCGCCCGAAGGAGGTGATGCAGGCCCTGCAGCAGGTGAAGGATGAGGGCTTGCAGACAGACATCGTGTCCAGCGGCTTCGTAGGCGCCATCAAGGCAGACCGCGTCACCGGCAACATCTCTCTGGTGCTTGAGGCGCGTTTTTGGGGTTTTGGGGGTCACCATCCCCACCGGGCCCCACCCCCTTAACATGGGGAATTGGGGGAGGGGAAGGGGGGGGGAGGGTGACGCCTGGAATTCCATGTGTGGTGAGCAATTTTCTCGTTTCTGGGGAAGGCTGGACAAATAGAATTGGGGGATATCCACTTTTCCCGAAACAATCCGCCCACCAGTCGAGGTACGCCCCCCACCCCCCACAGTGCCCTACTTTCTGGACGCCCAACGGTTCCTTTGCCTTGTGGTGGCTTACGCCCTCGGGGTAGTCGGCTGGATTTCGGAAGATACGCATTTTGGAAAGACCCCTTGTCCACTTCCACTGTCGGAAAAGGGCTATTTTTGGGCCAATGAACGGGGTTGCGCTTTTGTTGGGTGATGTTCAAGGAGGATATACACATACACAGTCACGGAGAACCATCTCTTCGGGACATGCAATTCATGCATCTAGTGGCACATTGTCTCACTGGAGAGGGACAACAGCTCGAATAATATCCGATGAGTTGTTCACAATAATGTTCGCAACATCCTTCTCCCAGTAGAATTGTAGTGGTTTTCCCTATGCCGAACACGGATCGCGGAAAGCGGACAATCTGACCCTCAATGTGAAACAGGCCTTTTTTTCCGATGTGGTTGACCCCTGCAAAGTGAAGCAGCCTTGCCGTTTGGTGGTTTCTTTGTTCCAGGTAATCCCTCACTTTCTCGTTCGCTTTCTGGGTTCATCACTTTTTCTAGGTTCACCCAGGGTTTATGGCATCCCGAACCCCCAATTCGATTTCAGGCATTTTCAGGCCCTGCAGGGAAAAAACAAAAACGAGACGCTCGTATTGGTACGGATTGGTCTACAAGAGCCAGGGCTTCAAATGCCCAGAGCAGCACCAATTGGAACCTCCGGGTGAACCCAGAAAGTGACCAGAACGCCAAGCCGGGAGGGAATCACCCTGGTCTAGCCTAGTTCCAGGTAAAAACTGTCTTGGTTTGAGCTGATTTAGGATTATTTGGGCTAATTTCCCTAGGGCACAATCCCAGGTTGTTTGCTTGTTTGTGCGGGCTTCGTTGCAGCCTTGGCTCAAACTCGATTCAACTTGGTACCCCCAAAACGCTTCCAAATCGATCGGCATGTCGCGATTTTTTTGAGGATGTGGGTTCAACTCAAAGGACACCCAGCGCCAGCTCTTTCCCGGAGACCCTTTAAATCAACCAGCCTCTAAATGGTACGTTTTTTCTCACTGCTCGGATTTCTCGCCTCCCGTAGAAAATGCTTCATACAAATTGCGGTTCCTTTCAGAAACGCTGGAATGACCATGTCCACCCTTGGGCTGGCTTTATGTTCACTGATGGGGGCAACTTTTTTCTGGTCAGGTTTGGGATGACAGGAATGACTTTGCGGCGCGCAGTGCTAGCAGTGTTTCGAGGTACCAGCACTCCTTCCCCCTTAAAGACAATCTGCCTTTGTGTTAGCTTCTAGGTCCCCCAGTAGTGCCCTTGTACCAACGTTTTTGGGGGAGGGTTTCCCTGTGAAATAGACAGCAGAAAAAGAAAGGGTACTCGAATTCTATCCTCTCTGCTGATGGAGGACCTAGCTTTTCTCATTCTCAACCCCCCTCCCGAACTACTTCGAAGTTTCGAAAAGCGCGCCTTGACGAATGGTTCCAAGTCTTTGTGTCAAAATCGGATCAAGCGGACCCAGACCGAAAGCTCGGGGGCCTGCAGATTCCTTGGGTTGAATGGACCTCGCTCTGGGGAAGGTGCGGGGTAGGTTTTGTCAAAAGGGATCCCTTCCAAAAAAGACGCATTGGGTTTCCCCGTAATTTTGTCTTGGAGTCTTGGATGTTTGTTTGCAGGATGCAACCCCTCTTTTCTCCTCGCGTCGGGTTTTGGTTGAACATGGGCACTGGTTTATTTGGCTAGGAACCTTTCTGGGGAGGCCCCCAAAATGGTTGGTGGCCAGGAATCCCCACCTAAATCTCTTTTGCCAAAGCAAATACCTTTGGGTTGTCCCTTTGGGTTCCCATTGTTAGTCACGACCCCAAAAGGTGATTGCCTTTTTATTTCTGGGTCCCAACTCCCAAATTGCTGGCTGGGAAGGAGGGGGGGATCCCTAGGCCTTATTTTGGCTCCCCCCAAAAAAAAACGGAACCACGCCCTTCTCAGTTGCTTGACGCCAACTTTTGGTCAATCTTTAGTCAGGGTTTCAACAGGTTTTAACCTTTTATTTCCAGGTCCCCAAGGGGCAAGTGAGCCATATGCCAGGCGTTTTACCCCTCCCATCGAAGGTGGAGGTGTACAAGTCGGAGGTGGAGCAACGCCTCTCTGAGCTGCCCTGGGCCAAATCTGTTGAGGCCGGAGGTTTTCTTGGTGCAGTTTGTTTTTCCTTTTTGTTTGCATTGCTACCTCCTTTTTGTTTGTTGTGTGTGTGTGCTCAGAGTGCTGTGTGTGTGCTGTGTGTGCTGTGTGTACTGAGTGTGCTGAGTGTGCTGAGTGTGCTGAGTGTGCTGCGTGTGTGTGTGTGTGCTGTGTGTGTGTGGGGGGGGGGGGGTAGACACAACCTGGCCATTTGTGTCCGGTCATTTGCAGAAATCGCACGTGTGGAACCCTGTATTTGTTCAACGTTGAATCGAAGTCGTAAAAGTCCGTATGGCATTTGTTTCGGTCAACGGCGTATGACCCAAACGAGTATCGGCCACATGGGTACCACTTATTTTCTTTGGGCACATACTGTGCAACACGCTTGTATTGGTGGCATATAAGCACGCATCCGTGCTTCAAATCCCCACCTTGTTCGTCACAAAGGAGGATGTCGGAAGCTGAAAGGCCTGTCCACTTTCATGATTGTCACTTCCCCACAAGTGAACATGGAGCCCACATTCCTCTAAACATTGTGGTTTTGCAGGTTCCATGCTGCAGGGGTGTCGGGCCAATCGGGTCCTGTGGTTGGTTCCATTTTTTTGAGGATACCCTTCATGGTTGGTTTTGAAGGGAACCAAAAGGACACAAACCATTTTCTTGGCCCCCCCCAAAAAAAGACACACCCGCAAAGAAAAAAGGGTTCACATTGTCAGAGGCGTTTCCCTTCGAGACCCCCAAAAGAACAAGCATCAGGTTTGGAATGGCATATTGGCCTATTTGGCTGCGTTTCCTTTGGGTTGGCTGCTGGTGTGGCATTCGTTTGCACAATATTTCAAGGTTGACTTGAACAGGTGATCACCTTCAAACTGACCTCATTCGAACAATCCCTAGCAATATTGTAACTTACCTAGGGAGCTCATGTATGTGCGGAGAGCACCATCTTTGTCCCCCGCGTTTTCGTATAACGGATGGTTTTAGAGGTACTCCTCTGCAAATGAGTATCAAGCTCAAAGCCTCAAGAAATTATCTAAACAAGGAAGCCTTTTTTCCGGGCCCTCAAATGCATCATGTTGAAGTGTGTGTGAAACCTGTTCGGGCGAAAAGCAATCCTCAAACAATAAAAAGGCTGGCTTTTGGAGAGGGGTCCTTGTTTCTTTTGGTGTCCAAGGTCAGCGTGGGCTCAGTGAAGGCTGCGCCGCCCTCTCAGCCACGGCCAATGCCGGAGATACCCAAGTCGCTGGACAAGGTGAAGAACATCGTGGCGGTGTCGCTTTGCCCGAGCTCAGCGTCCAAGTTGGCCCATTTCTTCACTTCCCCAGAATTTGTTTTTCCCCGTTTTTGCGGGACTCAAAGCAGTCAACTCCAAGCAGTTGTCCTTTTGGAACCAGGGTTGAACCAGCGTCACTGAACAAGTAGAATGAGCAGGGAGTCTTACCTGCAAGTTTGCGAGCTTGATTATGCGCTTGCCAAGCGAGGCCGAATCCCTTCTGTAGCAAAGGGCTTTTGATGGCTTCTGGTAGGCATGTCAGAAACTCTACTGCTATTGGGTTGGATCTTTAGACTTTAACCTTAAAAAAAAAAAACTTCATATTTCCTTTTAACCTGCAAACAGTTTAGCAAAAATGCTAGGCACCCAAGAAAAAAGGCGCCCAGTTTGGCCTCAGTTGTCAGGTCTTCCTGCAAGGGCGGCGTGGGAAAGAGCACGGTGGCTGTGAACCTGGCCTATGCCTTGCACAACAAGGGCGGCTCACTTTTTCAGTTAGTGGACTTCTTCCATTTGCTGAAATGAACATTTGTTTTTTCCCCTGTTGGTTTTAAACGGAATCTATCACTACTGGATGGTTTTTTTCCCCAAAGGACTTAAGCAAATGGAGGATTTTGAGCTGTGTGGGAAGCTCGTTTTAGTGACAAACAACACTCACTTGTCCCCCAAGCGAATCGACCTATTGACCTGTGGTTTCCCAATTCGGGGTTCCCATTATTTTGGGTCGTGGCCCCAAAGGTGATCACCTTTTATTGTTGGGTCCCTAAGAAGGGGCGTCTTTCTTTTCAAAGGCCGGTTGTGTTCACTGGGTTTCTTGAAGTTTTCTAGAAAGATCCGGCTACCTGGAAAGAATGGAAATGGGGCAGGTAGCCCTACAAAGCTCAGAAAATTTCAGGCTACAAGGTGGGGATCTTCGACTGCGACGTCTACGGGCCCTCCCTGCCGGTGATGGTGCGGTTTCAGGAAGAGACCCCAAAGATGGAGATGTACCAAGACGAGCAGAAGGAGAAGCTCGGCAGTGCTTCCAAGCATCCTTCGACCGGCAACGCCTGAAACATATCAAGAGGGCTAGGACTTTGGGGGCCATAGGTTCGGCCGTCAGTACAAGGGAGGCTGGCTTCACTTGCAGGAGAATACTTCCATTTGCTGAAAGGAATATATATATATATAAGAACTGTTGGTTTTTGTGATTAGCCATGGTTCATATCATCATCAGGGACGTCGCGTTAGTGACCGACCTGTGGTGTTTTGGCTCAAGATTTTGGGTTCCGTCGCGCCTCGAATGGGCGTCGCCGAACCCCTGCGTCGACCGACGGCATCTCGGGGGAGAAAGAGACCTCGGGCCGCCGCCAGGTTGGTAGGGACCAGTCGTGCGGCCTGTTGTCGACCAAGGTTGCGGGTTAACCCTTTTCTTGTTTTGTTTTCCTTTGGTTGTTGTTCTCTGGTGTGTGGGAAACCCTGATCTTTGGGACCGGGGATTGGTTTGCTTTTGGGGAACCTTTCTTTTGTGGCTTGTTTACCCCAACTTACCCATTGCCTGGGCACAGGCTCGTGCCCGAATCACAGGTTATCAGCCGTAGGACTTTCCTACGCGCTTGAGACCATCAACTACAAGCTCTATGTCGACCCCACGATCTCGAAGGAGCGTCGTGGATGAGGAGGCCATCCTAGGTGGCCTCCGCTCAGGTGAGGACCTACCGGACTATGACTACGAGGATTTCGAAGCAGGTTCGACAGGTCAGGACCGCAGGGGTGAAGATCCCGGTAGGGATACACCCAGGAGCCGTGGCAGGTACGCCGACGATGGAGACGATCGTATTTTCCGCCAGGCCACTGATGACGAGCAGACACGAAGGGTTTACTCCGGTAGGAGTGGCTCTGAATCAGGTCACAGGCGTGGACGTTTTGACTTCATCAGCATGGCGATGGACATGGCCCGCCCTCATTCGGATGACCCGGAGGCCATGCCGATTCGACCTCCGAGACCTCTTGTTCCAGGTGAGTCGCAGGTCTCGGATGAGTTTGAGAATAGGCCGCAGGGACCAGGGACTATGGTTCTGGCTCCGGGAGGTATCCCGGGCCGATCCACTGGTTCTCAAAATCCAGGTCAGTTTGATGAGCACGAGGAGCGGAAATTCACGGACTTCGGATACGATGATCTGTTGAAATCAACCGCAGGTTGGGGCAGTAGCTCAAAGCAGGGATCTGATGCCGGTAGGCCCAACCCTAATACTGCCAAATCTGAGTCTTATGATGGCGAAGGTTACAATTTTGCGGATGAGGAGGAGAGCCATTCGCGCCGAAATGCAGGCAGCCGTGCGACTGCAAGGACTAGTCCCGCCGCTGCCAAGTTTGAGGTCGATGATGATGACGAGTATGCCGCATTTGCGGATCGCCGTGATGAGGAGGAGGACCAACCACGACGAAATGCTAGGATCCGTGATGCTGCGAGGCCCAGGAGCCTCTCTCGTGGAGCCGCCAGGGACCTTCGCGTTGACAGGGATGCCCGAAGCGAGAGAGAGAGAGCCAGGGACAGTCGGGAAGTTCTTCGGGGATTGGAGGCCATCCATGACCGTGAGGGACCGGTAGGTCCCCCGGCGATTGGTGATACCCCGAATGTTCCCCCTTTTCCCAACATTACGTTTGGAGGTCCGTTAAATCAGAGAGACGTGAACTCGAACCGGGTTACTGGTTCGCCGAGAGTCACTGAGCGGGTTGCCGATGTCGTTGGGAGAGGTGCAAGAGATGGCCGGCTTGCCGATGCACTCGGAATCGAGGATCGTCCGTCGATCGCTAGCCCGTTAGGGCGAGATACCAGTGACCTTGAAACGCTAAGGTCCAGCAACGAGTTCACACCTCAATGGGGCTCGACCGCCAGGGAACGTAGTGCTTCTGCGAAGAGACCGTCACCCCTGGCCATTGAGACCGATAGGTCGAAGGCGAGGAGGGCTAGCCCCTCACCAATGGACTCAACTCCGCAGGATGAGGAGATGCCTGATCCTGCTGATGTTCACATCCACTCTACTCCCGAGTCTCGTGCGTCCCATGTTGATCCCCGTTCCGGCGATAGCCGTAGAAGGGGTTCTACCCCTAGCAGGCCATCTGGGGCTGGTGATAGTCCTGTGGATGACCCCAGAAGATATGCTAGAGCTAGTGGGGCTCCTGAGAGGATCGAGATATCGACTCCTCCAGCACTCAGGTCTCATTCTTCCGGTGAATCAGGTGACGCTAGGGCAAAGGAGGTGTTCGATTTGCACATCCAGGAGATGCTCGAGAGAGGTGAGGTTTCTGGCTCAGTCGCGAAAGCGTTCCATATTTTTGCTGACCAGATCAGGTTACTGAACGGTCAAGTGAGTTCCATGAGAAGGGAATGGAGCGACGAGAATCAACAGACGAAGGACAAGGTCGATCGACTGGCAGCTGAGGTTGCGACTCAATCTGATGCCGGGAGGATGCGAATGATAGTTCAACGGTTCGCAAGGGAAGTTATTCCCGATAGCAGGCCATTGTGAGGCAAGCCATCGATGAGCAAGCCGAGGTCGTGGAGCAGAGGATTAACCTACTGTCCCACGAGGTCCATGAATCTGTCAAGGACAATGAGGCATCGACTGATCGGCTTCGCCTGATGATTCAGGAGAATAGTGAGGCTGCCCGCAGAAGCCATGCTGCTTCTGAGGACGAGATCCTTAAGGATTTGGACAAGCTTGAGAAACGGATGTTCTCGGTAGAGAAAACCGTTGGGATGCGGACACCAGCAGGTGTATGGAACCCGAATCCTGTCGCGCATCCGTCCGATAGGGCCAGCGGCAGTGTAGTCGATGCAAATTTCAGGGAGTTAAACCTGAAGATCGAGAAAGCTCTCCTTGATCACGAGACGTTTGCCAAGTGGGCCTCTGAATCTATTGAAGGGGTCAAAGAAGAGCACACTCGTCTTGTTAATCGAGTGTCTAGACTGCAGAGTGGAAGGGGTTCTCAGGAGGTCGATAGACCATCAGGGCATGATTCCCCGCAGGACTGGCATGAGGCTGTTGACGAGATCAATCGGAAGATGCAGGATCTGGCTCGAGGAATTCAACGTCAACGTCGGGATCATGACGACATCATTTCGAGGTTTGAACCGTGAAGTCACATGTTGAACAGTATGAAGCGAGATCGGCAATTGTGAATCGGGTCGTTGATGGCATCCAAGGACAGATCCGTAATCTTCCTGCCAGCAGTGACCAAGTGCAGCCTGCCGTTAGGCGAGAACTCGGCACATTCCGGAGTACACTTGAAGGTGTTATGCGGAGAGTCAGCGCTATCGATGGCAACGTGCGTAACCTTAGCGCCGCGAACAACAGAATCATGTCCCAGCTCTTTGAGATGGAGGGTCAATTTGACGAGGCTGCTGGCATTATTCAGGGTGTCCAGCAGATTAATGAAGCTCCTCCACAACCCAGAGAAAGACGGAATGTTGGTTACCATGCATTTGCGGGGCAAGGACATAGGATCAGGTCACCGACGCCTACACCAGGGGAAGGTGACGGCCGGGGTACTGGCCTGCCGGTGAGACCAGGCGGAGGCGTTGTTTTGCCTGATTCATGTTTTGCCGAATGTGCCCGATAGGGTCGATCCTTCTCGCGCAGACAGGCATCCCATCAATCCCGTTAGGGAGAGGTCCGACAGCAGGAGCAGGAGGGTTCGGGGGTTGCCTGACAGGTCGCATTCGCCACCGGAGCGTGCAAGGGGTGGTCCCCGCGCGCGCGCAAGGGGGGACGTCTCTATTTCCCCCAATAGGGATGCGGGTAGGAATAGGAGCCCGAGGCCTGCTGCCGTCCCCGATAGGGGATCTGAGGTCCGGAGTCGACAATCGAGGGGGGAGAGGCCGATCCGCGATAGCGGGAGCGTCTCTCCGAGTTTTGATAGGCCAATCCGCGATAGCGGGAACGTCTCTCCGAACCCAGGTCGTCATTCAGGAGGTGGTGGGGGTAATAGGGTTCATGCCGACATCCAGAGTCCTGGTGATGAGTGGAGGACTCCTGGGAGTAGAGCCAGCGCCGACACCCAGAGTCCCGGCGATAGGCGAGGGACCGCTGGAGATCCGTCGGATCGTGGACAGGCCTCAGCGCCGGCTGCAAGAGGGGCTCCCGGCGGCGATGGCCCAGACGCGCCAAAGATTTGTGCCCTCGATGATCCCAACGACCGTAGGCACCCGAACGCTGAATTCTCGTGTGTGACATGCAGTCGTGAGTTCTGCGGGCTTTGCCGTGGTGACGACGGGGACTGTTACAATTGTCAGTTCTTGAAAATGAAATGCTGGGCATGTCGCAAGAATGCTCAGGAGGTCTCCATGTATTTCTGCACGGATTGTGGGACTCACGTCTGTGAGAATCACAGTTACTTTGGAAATGACGGCCTTGAGCGATGTGCGCGCTGCAATATTCGGCATGAACGCGCTCAAGCTGGACCGCCCCCTCCTCCTCCTCCCGGGGGAGGTGGTGGGCAAGGCGGACCACCTGGTCAAGGTGGGAGCGGAAGTGGTGGTCATGGACATGCCCCAGCTCCACCACCAGGTCCTGGGCATTATGGTGGAGGCCAAGGTCCCGCTGGGCCTTCTGGAGGCCCGAGTGGAGGGGCTCCTACCGGGGGTTACCCTGGTGGAGCGCCCGGGTTCCATGGTAGTGCTGCGGATACTCATGGAATTGGGAACAATCAGTGTGGTTCCAGTTTCTATGGTCCTGCCTACGGAGGTGGCGTTAGTCACCAAGGGGTTGGCGCTGGCGTTAGTCAGTCTAGCAATGCCACGGGTTACCCCTCAAGTGTTGCGAGCGGTTGGTAACCTTGGGCCGGGCCTTAGCCTCGGCTATAGTGTGAATGGTGCCGGTAGGCAGGGAGATGGTGGTCTTCTCCCTGAAGCCTTGAGGGGAGATGATGGACGGGACAGGTGCACTAAGTGTAACAGGATCCCTGAGCCTGGTTTCCCTCTTGTTCCTTGCGTTGGTTGTGGAATGAGGGCGTGTGAAGTTTG